ACTTGCAAAAGCCCATGAGAGAAGTACATTCCACATATAATGTGAAAATAACCCAAGACAGCATAACTGAGGAAGCGCAGCAGCAGCTGAAGGCAGAAGAGTCTGGTCCAGCACAGAGAACATCTACAGGACTTTCGGTGAGAAGGCAAAATCCAGGACATGGTGTCAATGTGACTTCCAAAGATAGCATCTTTTCAGCCTGAGCACGTTCCCACCATCTTTGGGACATACTTATATTAGTAATCACTATTTGTCTAGAATGCAGCTGTTTGTCCTGTTCCTTAACTGGGGGGCCCGGTCAACAGGAACACTCCCCAATGCCATCAGATTCTTCACAGCATCTCCCAGCTTACGTAGAGATTTCCACCTGCTTTAGCCCTTGCCTGCCAGGCACGAAAACCTCACAGGGAGTTTCTTGTGAAGTCTATCCTCACTGACACACAGACAGTTAAATCTGTCTGAATTCCATTCTTCAAGGTCTCCACTAACAGCATTGAAGAGATAACACATCAACGAAAATTTAGCAACGCAGGCATGACTTTGCACTTTTCTTCTAATCTCTCATAGAAACTTCTGGACTTTGGGCAATGTGGGTGCAGCTTTTTTCTTATTGGATTGTCTCCCTTTAACTGGGAAGGGCTTATTCAAATTAAGAAATAGCTTATAAAACAGCAAGAACTCTTTTTTTGCTGTGGAGTTCCTTAGAGTGAACAGCTTTATCACAAGGTAAGTACTGCATCAAATCAATTTTCCTAATACACACACCCATGCACACACACATGTACACATACAGACAGACACACAGGGACACACATAGACACACACACAAACAGACACACACATGCACACACACAGAGGCACACAAAGACATACACACAAAGACAAACATAAACATATACACATAGGTACACACACAAACACACACACGCATGCACACACACACAAACAGACACACACATGCATACACACAGAGGCATACATGCACAGGAACAGATCCACACAGACACCCACATAAACACCCACACACAGATATGCACCCAAACAGCATCCCCCCACACACAACCTTTGGCACCTAGAAAATACTTCACAAGAAAACTTGTGTTTTGAACTTGCATTATGCAGGGTTATTGTGCTTCAGGACTTCCTAAGAATTGTTGATTTCATTTCTACTGAATGCAGTATTACAGAGGTGCAGAAATGAAGGATTTAGAAATTTGGGTTGTGAGAATTTATTTGTAAGAGACAAATTAGCTTCTTAAGGAAGAAACAGAGGGATAACAGTCCTCACAAACCAGCATTATATCCAGGAAAGAGAAACACGGCACTGATGCTAGAGTTGCTTTCTCTACAGAAGAAACCAGTGTGCACTTGGGGACTGTGATGCCGAGGCAGAATATAAGGACAAGGAGAATGAAATAGATGAGGAGCAAAATGAACTCCTTACCTTTGCTGGATGAGATTTTAGTCAAGGTCATGAATTATGTTTGCAGTGAAAACATTTGCCTTGATCACTGACAAGATTTGACTTGAATTCTATCTTATCTGCTTATAACCCAGTGGCATATGCTGCATAAAGCACATATCAGAGCAATCAAGAACCATGTACAGTCTATTTTACTATGGGGAAACACTATATAAAGGTAAGCATCTCTAAACATGCTGCCCAACTTTTTAATTCTTTGGACAGTTATAGCTACAAATTTAATGTAACTACATGTGGATAGCTATTGTTAAGACAGCTCTCTTCCCGCCCCCCCCGTCCGTCTGTCTATCTGTCTCTTTCTTTCTCTATCTTTCTATGTCTCTACCCATGCAAACACTTGGGTATATACAACTACCTTTTTCTTTTTTAGAAATAGTAACTGTACACTCCTTATATAAAGTAACTGAGTTCATCAAAATACTTGTAACTGAGCACGTCATTAAGCTTTGACTGTATTTATACCTGCTTCCCTCTCTTGCCCTCTCTCTTTTGCAAGTCTCCTCCCTTGCCCCAAATAGTTCTCCTTTTCCATCCACCTTCCTGTTTCTCTCTCTCTCTGCTCCCTCTTTCCCTCTCTTTTTTCTGCTTCCTTCTCCCCCGCCCTCCCTTTCTCCAATTTGATCTACTCTAAAACCATTTTTAGGCAATTGATTTTCAGAGTTTATTTTCTTTTCATTGTATGTACAAAGTATCTTGGCCATATCTACTCCCAGCTCCCTTTCTTACTCCCTCTTTTTAACTCCATCTACTATGTCCACATACATCTTCCTCCAGCTCCCAGGCATCTTCTTGCTTTACCACCCATTGAGTCCTATTAGTTTTGCCCAAATATTGATAGATATGGACCATTCACTGGGTCATGAGCAGCCTACCAAAGGTGACCCCCCAAAAGAGTGACTGTCACTTTCTCAGCAGTTCTCAGCTCTCAATATCTCTTCAATTAGGTATGGAATGCTAGGAGCCCCTTCTCTCTCATACTGCAACTTTCAACTGGATTGATTTTGTTCAAGTAACCATGATGGCCTCACACACTTTATCCTTCTGCTTCAACATCCCAAGTACTGGGGTTGCAGTCATGTACCACCACACACAGAAGCCAGTTGTCTTAACGGAATAAACAGAGTTCTGTTAGTTCTATGATGGGTATGATGACTGAGTTCCTTAAGCCTTCAAAGGAAAGTACTGAAGATCTTTACCAAACTTTCTTTCCCTGCAGTTCCCAAAAAGCTGTTCACAGAAAGGCATTCATGAACTGGAGGCTCCATTTTTCCTTCTTCAATATTGACATGGCTGAAGGACTCTGGGAAAATAGGCAGTAGGCCCTAGGAGAGCAGCATGGGGCTCAGGGAGGGCTCCAGGGTGGACCGGAGAAGTCTTGACCTGTAGCAGGAGAAAGTTGATGATCAAATGTTTTGAGATTGGGAGTGTATTGTTTCTCTCTGAACCTGCGGAAACCCCCTGTAAGTGGAGCACCAGGGAGCATTCCCACAGTGGTTGCAGACAGGGCAGTTAGTCCTCAGAACTGACTGTGACTGAGCATCATGTTCAGACCCCATCATTCAGTCTCTCTCATTTTCATTCTGTTGACTTTGTGAGGCTGAGCGGTAAGCTTCATTCTGGCAGTGAATTGACCTTTGGAAGGCCTTTCAAAGGCCTTTGGAAATGGATAGTGTTAGCGTGGAGAGCATTATGATGAAATACTACGGAATGTGATCCTCTATTAATGGCAATAGGATTAGTGAGCAAATTTGAATCACTTGGCTCTGTGTCCCCAACAATCAAATACCTGTAGCCAAGTGACCCCCACTCTCCCTTTTATCCTGTTAATTACCCCTAAAAGAACATGAAATATTCACATTCTACACTGTAAGAACGATGAAATTATTGCATTGTCGATGTTTTTATAACATGAAGGTTGGAGCTTAGTATTTTTCTATATAAGTGATATTTATAGTAGTTTGATATTTAAATTAAAGTGCACATACTTTAAAAAATACACCTCCTGGTAAGAACAAGGATATTGTTTCAAATTGCACAACATCAAAACTTTCCAACAAAAAAACGTAAGGTTTTCTGACAGTCTTTGAGTCTGTACGGGGAAAGGGAGTTTTCCCCAAGCCCAGCACTGGAGCCTCTGGTCTCAGTGACTCCTGGGTGTTTAGTTTACTCTCTTGACCTCATCGGCTCCATTTATCCCAGAATGCACTGCTCTTTTTCTCTGATTCTTTGCTGTGTTCTACCTTGAAGCCATCTGAAATGGGAGCATCAAATTCCCTTGATGGACTCAGCAGGATCCCTTATCCACGGATAATGACCAAATGAGCAGAGACACATGCATGCATCCCCCCACACAGTGCACACACAGCTAACTAAAAACACATCCACTTACTTAACCATTTCTTCACTCTCACAGTTCCTATCCTCTTCTACTTCTTTAAAAAGTGGATTTCATAACACACCTAATGATTTCCACCGTATTTTGAAAACCAATATCATAATTAATAAAATCTTTGGTTTTGAATAGAAGTGTCCATACTGGAAAAAGCACTTCCTTATTTGGCAGGCTGCCTTAGAAAATTGTCTCTACAGTCTTACACTGCAACTAAGTTTCAAAAGTCTCATTAGGTGATTTTTTTAAATTAGGATAAAATGAAGATGAGCTGATGAGGGTGTCCATTGTGGCAGACATGGACACCCCTGTACCTGGCTGTGTAGTCTGTAAAAGGAACTCAACAAGACCTCCTTTCTAGCTTTCACATAGAAATGTAGACATGAAGAAAAAAACCACATTCCAAAGAAGCAAGTAATATACGTCTCTGGGAAAAATATAACAGTTTTAGAGGACAATTGAGTTATTCTTAGCACACACTCCATGTGGTAAAACACATTTTCGAAGCCTGATCTCTTTTTTTGATCAAATGCAGTCTAACAGCCAAACGGCTGAACAGTGCCTGCTGCCCTGTTCATTGCTGCAAGCCATGTTCTAGGGTTTTAATGTGTTCAGTTGTGAGCCTTCTTTCATGAGAATACGGATCCTTCTTGGTTTTAATCTTCTCTATGAATTTTTACATTTACCATTGATTTGATGTGATTATGAACAATGCACTGAAGTTATCTGACATCTAGTTTCCTTAACTGAATAATGAGAAATAGCCAGTTCATGTGGTCATGTGATTATTAAAGACGGTGTGTCAGAAAGGATCTGAGCTGGGCATGTAGCTCAGGAATATAGAGTTTGTCTAGTATATGCAAAACATGGGTTAGACCTTCACCTAGATGTGGAGGAGGAGGAAGAGAAGACAAAGAACAAGAGTGGGATGTAATGGGTGGGACCATTAGAAGGCAACAATGAACTGTAGTTTGCTGGTACTCTATTTGCCTCTTGGGTCCCACACATTATTATCCTCCAATCTGACAAATAAACCAGTTTTTAGAAAGTCACATTTTAACCAATGGAGACTCTAAACTGGTTTGGCACAATCAGAGGGTGGTTCTGGATGGGTAATGATTTTGATCAAGGGACATATTCCTTGAAAGTCTCCAACCCTGCCATGAGGAAGTCAGATATCTCTTCAGTGTAGCTGCTGCCCAAACACCCTGATAGGACAGACTTAAGAATAAGGTGTGTTTCATTCCTGTTTAGGAAAACCAAACAATTGCTGGCATGGCAGGGAAGCCAGTCCTTCACTACTTTGATGGCCGGGGCAGAATGGAGTCTATTCGGTGGCTCTTGGCTGCAGCTGGAGTAGAGGTAGGTTCTTAACTGAGTCATTTTAAGTTGAACCTGCAATTCATTTTTATCAAACATTTTCCTCATATGAGCCATCAAAGTATCTTCCTGGATGACCTAAATTAAAGCCTGCCAACTATTAAGTGGCCCACATATTTATCCTAATAAATTAATTGTTTTCATTAGCAATTAATTTCTCGGCAGTTAAGAGCACTTACTAGCCTATAGAATGGGAAAAGATCTTCACCAACCTCACAACAGACAGAGGGCTGATCTCCAAAAGAGACAAAGAACTCAAGAAATTTGTCATCAAAAGAACAAATAATCCAATAAAAAATGGGGTACAGACTTAAATAGAAAACTCTCAATAGATGAATCTAAAATGGCTGAAAGACACTTAAGGAAATACCACCAGAGAAATGCAAATCAAAACAACTCTGAAATTCCATCTTATACCTGTGAGACTGGCCAAGATCAAAAACACTGATGACAACAAAAACACTGATGAAGAGGATGTGGGGTAAAGGGAACACTCCTGTATTGCTGCTGGGAGTGCCGGCTGGTACAGTCACTTTGGATATCAGTATGGTGATTTCTCAGAAAATTAGGAAGCAACCTTCCTCAGGACGAAGTAATACCACTTTTGGGTATATATCCAAAGGATGCTCAATCGTGCCACAAGGACAAGTGCTCAACTATGTTCATAGCAACTTTGTTTGTCATAGCCAGAACCTGGAAACAATCTAAGTGCCCCTCAACTGAAGAATAGATAAGGAAAATGTGGTACATTTACACAATGGAGCACTACACAGCAGAAAAAAATAACGGCATTTTGAAATTTGCGGGCAAATGGATGGATCTTGAAAACATCACATTGAGTGAGGTAACCCAGACCCAGAAATGCAAATATAATATGGACTCACTCATAAGTGGCTTTTAGACATAAACAAAGAAAAAACAGTCTACAATTCACAATCCCAGAGAACCTAGACAACAAAGATGATCCTAGGAGACACATACATAGATCTAATCTATGTGGGAAGTAGAAAAAGACAAGATCTCCTGAGTAAATTGGGAGCATGGGAGAAGAGTAGAAGGAGAGAACAGAAGAAAGGAGGGGAGCAGAGAAAAATATATGGCTCAATCAAAACAATTTTTTAAAAATGGAAAAAAGAGCACTTGCGACTCTTCCAGAGTACCTGAGTTCAATTCCCTGCACTCACCTCACCCCTGTAACTCATAGTCCAAATCTGTGAGTTCTCCCAGCCTCTATGTACACAAATACACACGCACACACACACCAGAAATGAGAGAGAGAATGAAAATAAATTTTCAAAAATGCAAAAGAAGTCTAAGTAATTTATCAGTGCTGTACACACACATTAGCCTCAGTGTGATGTACACCTGGGCATTGGTGTCACCATCCTCCTCCTCCATATCTTGTCCTACTGGAAAATCCTGGGGCAGTGACATGCATGAATTGTTGTCCTCTATGAAGACATTGTCTTCTTCTAATCTAGAGCAGCTGTTGTGGTGTCTGCCTGAGGCTCATCTGAGGCGATGTCTCTCTGGCATGAGTTCTCTTGCCATTCCTAAAAGCAGCTATTGGAGCATGATCTTCCTTTCTGGAAATGAAAGGTTTTTCCATGTTGTGGTCCACATTTTCAACTTTAAATGACTGTTCCTGTGAAGGGTCCTAAATGTCCCACTACACTTCTACTTTTGTAATCTGTGACATTCACCATGCAGTGATGCTTCTGAAATTCTGCTATAACCTATGGAACTACCTTTGCACAGCTTATGGTCAACCCAAAGTGTTGTACAGGGCTTCAGAGTACATGAAATCTGAGATTTCCTTCAAGAGATTACAAAAGAAGAGGTGTATATGAAACTCTGTAACTTGAGCAGACAATTGTTGAATGTAAGTGAGGGGTACAATGAGGAACATAATAATTTTCTGTTATTTGTATCCATATCCAACATGACAATAATTAAAGGAGTGAGGCATACACTCTTTGGAACTGAATGTAATTACAATGCAAATACACACTCTGGAAGAGGAGTGGGCAGGAGACAACGTACAAACTTTCTGTTAACCACAGCTCTCATCGTAAAGGGAATCAGAGACACTTTGTTCTGGAGCCATTCCAGTGAACATTGCCAGGGAACACAGATTTAGGCTACTCTAAACTCCATGTTCTAAGATTGTCTTAGGGTTTCTATTACTGACTTACAGTTTCAGAATTTAATCTATTATCACCATGGTGGGACATCGAGGCATAGAGGCAGACATGGTGCTGGAGAAGGAGCTGAGAGTTCTTCATCTTGAACTGCAGACAATAGGAAGTAAACTGTCTACCACACTCGATGTACCTTGAGCATATGAGACCTCAAAGCCCACCCCCACAGTGACACACTTACTCCAACAAGGTCACACCTACTCCAATTAGGTGATACCACCTAATTGTGCCACTTCCTATGGGCCAAGCACTCAAATCCCTAGTCCACTGGGACCATACCTATCCAAACCACCACAAAGATGAAAATGACCAAAGATGACCACCACAAAAAAGCAGTTTCACTAGGTTTATAGTTTTACAGAACAAAAAAGATTGTAAATCAAGGCAAGTTTGAAAAGCATTGGTGGGCACACCATAGAGGCAGGGACAAAGTGATGAGGGGAGCAACTCTACAGGCCTAACAGAGTCTCTAATGACATTCTTTGCTCTCAGATTAGTGTCCTGATAAGTTAAAACCTACTAAGACATTTTTATCTATTACCACAAGATATTAAGTCTAAGTTAATAGCTTGTAAAAGGTTTTATATATTATCACAAGATACTAGTTCAAATACAAGGTAAGGCAAAGGATGTCTGTTCCACAATGCTAAAACTAGTTAGATAAAGTAATTAGATTCTGAACTTAACACAATTCCAATCTCCTCCCAATACTGAAATTCCAGTCTGCCTATCAGTCTCCACAGACATAGACTCCTTACAGGACTTTTTGTTCACAGCCAGATACAGCTTTGTTTGCTGAATTTTCATTCATGGTATATAGATGACATGGAATCAAGCTATTTATAGGGTTAAAAGACAGTGTTTCCAACTGTGTGAGCAGAAATCCAGTGGGGATCTCTGTGATTCAGTTGATCACTGCTTTCTGGAGCTGTCGCAAGGGAAAACCATCTCAGTGCAGCCCAGAGGGACCGCACAACTGGGTGAGAGTTTTTCTGAGAAGGAAGTCATAGAAACTGCCAAGAGGTCTTGTCCGTGGGAGGTAGTGGTCAGAAAGGCAGGGCTACAATATGAGCCCCGTGTTTCAGTTGGGTTTCTGCTACCTCCTCAGCGTCTAGCAAAGTGTTTACCAGGGCTCAGATTAGCACCCTTGCACAACCACTATGTGAATATATTGTCTGCAAGCCCTTATCCTGTTCCAAAGCAACGAAGAAACAAGGAGAAAACTGTACTGCTGTCACAGACTGTTTTCTTTGTACAAATGGTCAATCTGAAAGACCTCTGGAGCAGGGAGACTCTCACTCAAGTCTCGGGATAACACGACCCTCCAGGAACTCACTAGAGACTGTCCTTGCTGCAGTCACATGAGGTTTATTGACAGGACAGGAACCAGTGCACTGGGGCTGAAACTCATTTCCCATGCAGGGGTAGAGAATTCAACCCTTAGTAGCTGGAAGAAGGAGTATTTAAGGAAAGTAACCATCCAAAGGGGGTAGGGAGGGCCTCGTTGGAAAATTCCGAAAATACCAGTGGTAATCACAGGGTTAACTCCCTGTTTCTCAAGATTATAATCTATCTTTATCTTCAGCTAGTTCCTGAAACAGAGTCACTGAACCGGTTAATCTAGATTTTTGATTCTTCTCCCCTTGCTTAGATTTTTCGGGCTCTAATTTTTTTCTGCTAGAGGGGTCTGGATTTACCCAGGTCTTTCAAATCGTTCTCTCAAGTAACCAGATGGCAGCCTTGTGTTTCAAGTTTCCAAGCCTCTGGGCAGAGTGAGCTCAGTGCAGGAAGAGCAAGTGGCAGTGATGGCAGCTTCCCCTCCTGCCTTTCAGCGTGACAGAAGAGCCTGCTGAGCACAGGTCGCCCAGATCCTCTGGCAGTGATCTACTGTGCACACATGATGGTCGCTACAGCCCTACCCATCAGCAGCAACCTCACCATCAACATCACACTCCAGCCCCATCCCACCTTGCCCACCCTCATGGAGCTCTGAGTGTGATGCCATGTGATCATATAGATCCACAAGAAACTGATCCATGGAGTCTGCCAGATATCTTACAACCAGAAACTCCAGAAAAGTCAAAATGTCACTGAAAACAACACTACTGTATTACATAACAATACTTGCTTTCTGTGCAGCAAGAGAGGTACTGAGTTTTTTTAAAACAACCCACTATTCTTTTTTTTATTGTTTTTACTGAGCCATATTTTTTCTCTGCCTCCTGTCTTCCTCCCCCCTCTTTCTTCCCTTTTCCATGAGCCCCACGCTTCTAATTTGTTCAGGAGATCCTGTCTTTCTCTACTTCCCCTGTAGATTAGATCCATGTATGTCTCTCCTAGTGTCCTCTTTGTTGTCTAGGTTCTCTGGGATTCCCACTAGTCTTCTAAAGAAGAATACACTTCCTCTAAGTTACAAATGATCAAAGGAAGTCTTTCCTGTGTTGTTATACCGTCTCACTGTGAGCATGAGACATGACCACAAGTGGAAGAAAACATGTCAGCAATAGTTTCACGCCATGATGACTCTTTCCGTGGACGTTTGACTGAACTGTATAGTATTTCCCTTCCTCTGGCATTCTTATCCCCTATGCTTTAATCAGCTACATAGGTAGAGTACGGTGTCGAATACAAGAAGGAGAAGTGATGTGTTGTGACCACAACTCCTTTCTTAAAAGATCTGCTTTTAATTCCCACAAGCCCTGATAAGTGCACCTGTGTCCTTGACAAATAAAGATATATTTTCCTTTTCTCACATCATCTATGGATCAGAGCCATTAAAGCAAAAAGCCTGGAATGTAATAAAATTAATTAATTAAGATGTATTTATTCTTTCTGCATTCTAGTTTGAAGAAAAGTTTCTGAAAACTCGGGATGATCTGGAAAGGTTAAGAAATGGTAAGAACAAAGATCTGAATGTCCCTGAGAGGGTTTCCGGTGGAAGCTTTAATCACTAGACATTACCTATCTAAGTGTAGAAAATTAGCAGATAATAATTGATGGAAGGGTGGTAGATTGTATGTCATGCATCTCTGTGAGCATTTGAACCTGGAGGCTTTTCCATGTCTCACCCAGTCCTGCTGTTGCTTTTATGATAACCACTCTGAGGCTTAATATTAATTACAAACTTTTTGACCTATTAGCTCAGGCTTACTATAACTAGCTCTTATATCTAAATCGACCCATTTCTATTAATATGTATACTGTAATGAGGCCTGTGGATTACCAGTGATGCTCTGGCGTATTGTTTCTTGGGTGGCTGGATGGCAACTCTCTCAATCCCACCTTCTTTCTCCCCATATTCAGTTTGGCTTTCCTGCCTAGCTATATTCTGCCCTGTCATAGGCCAAAACAGTTTTATTTATCAACCAATAAAAGTATACAGAAGGTCATCCCACATCACAGATCTGGTAAATATCTCAGTTAAAAGGGCTGAAACTCTGTATTTGCTGAAACCATCCATAAAGCCGTATGGATGACCTGTCTCTGTTCTTCCATGCTTGCTGCAGTTCGCTTGGGTTCCCACACAGCCTTCCATCCACATTAAATTCACTAGATGCCACAAGCAAATATGTCAGCCACTTATCCTGAGTTCTAATGGGTTTGACAAATGAATTCCCTAGTAATACTGCTTTATAGGATTAACAGAAAGGTTATGCTGATTATGTGGAATACTGTGAAGGAGGATGCAAGAGAACAGGAGGAAGATCAACACAGGTGTGTGAGGGTTCGGGTCTACCCAGCACATGCTGACCCTTGGTGTCGGTGAAAACACATAGGAAACCTACACAGAAGCAGCTTTATGACCTTTTCTTGATGTCATGAAATGTCAGAGACTCTGAGGCCCTCTTTTTATTTTCAGGGTACCAGCTAATGGTACAGTTATACCTCCTTCAACTTCATCCCAAAATACACATGAACATGAGTTAAATAGACCACCACATCCTGTGCAACAAATACAGAAGTACTGTCAATATGAAATAAAAACATCAATAAGATAAGATTCTAGAACTTAGACACTAAAGACACAGAAAACAAAAAAATGTAAATGCTATTCCATTGAAAAGTTAATTATCAAGTAATTAGTTTTAAAATTTTCTGTTCTTTCATCAGATACCTTTTGTTTTGAACTTTTAAATATGTCTGACCATGGATTAACGTGTGTGTGTGTGTGTGTGTGTGTGTGTGTGTGTGTCTGTCTGTCTCTGTTTGTCAGTCTGTCTGTCAGTCAGTCTGTCTGTGTGTTTATGTATACATGTATATAATATGCCCATAAACATCTTATACTTCTTTCTCTATGATTCATCTGATAGATGGGAGTTTGATGTTCCAACAAGCACCCATGGTAGAGATCGATGGAATGAAGCTGGTGCAGACCAGAGCCATTCTCAACTACATTGCCACCAAATACAACCTCTCTGGGAAGGACATGAAGGAGAGAGCTATGTATGATGCATTTACTCTAGAAAATATTTATGTTCTGTCTTGAATGAACAGAACCATGGCAAAGGACTCATGACACAATGCCTGGGTGTTTGGGCATACACACACTGACTTCACTTAAGAAGAAAGCTATGGAATTGAGGGAAGAATATGAGAGGAGATGAGGGAAGAATATGAGGGGAGATGAGGGAAGAATAGGAGGGGTTGTGTGTGTTGTGTGGAATAGGAGATGGTGGAGTCCGGTTTCCCTTTGTTTAGTCTTCAGAAGCAACATTCTAGCCAATAGTTTTAGACAAAGAACAACTCTTTGTGTAGTGGTGTAGTATTTGTGTTTTAATAAATAAATCTTGCCTGAAGACCAGAGGCAAAATTAAATCTCCCAGAGATCAGGTAATGGGGATGTACACCTTTAATCACAGGAGTTGTGAGACAGAGGCAGATGAATCTCTGTGAGTTCACGGCCACACTGGACTACACAGGATCAATGCAGAAACAAATCTAGGTGGTGGTGGCCTACACCTTTAACCCACTACTAGAGGTAATAAAAAAACATGAGTAGAGAGAGAGAGGCTTAGGCTGCTTAGTTTCCAGTCGCCCAGCCTTGGTAGAGGTAAGACTTCCCCAGTGATTTGACTGCTTTACTTTTCTGGTTTTTGCATTGAAACCCAATATCTGACTCTGGATCTTTCTTATTCATGCTATGTCTTTGAGTAGAAGTAAAGAGAAGGATCCAAAGAGCTGATTTTCCAGTTCTGACAATTACAGTCATGATCCTGGGTTACCATGTGAATCTACACACGCTCAGGCTTATTGTGGCTCATAGAGTCTGGTACAGGGACACCATGGTTGCATGAAGCTTTTTCTGGTATGGCTGTTCTGAGCTGTCAAGACTGATGGAGAGGGCTCCTCTTTCTTGTGTTAGAATCACACCATTTACACGAAATCTTCTGTGGAACTGTAGGTTTTTCTCAAAAAGTGAAGCATCAAGTCCCCAATAATTCAGAATAATTCAGAAGTTTCATTAGCAGATAAACACACAAGAGCAATAAAAACACATCCTTTGAAGTGATTGTTCATAGATGTGTTATTTTTGTTCAAGAAGTACAATGTTCAAAAAGTAGAAAATGAGTCAAATTTTAACAGAAGAATCAATGACGAGAAGAGCATTGCTTACTAGCCCTTGAGGTCATTCAGAATGGAAAGTTACTGGAGGTGGTGCAATTGGCTTTATCTCAGCACTCAGTGACAAAGGCAGGAGAATTCTGTGTGTTTAAGGCCAGTCTGTCCACATAGTCTACAGGCCAGTCAAGCTGCATAAAGAGATCCTGTCTCCAAACAACGTTCTAAAACAGTAGATAATCAGCAATAAAAATCTATTATTATGGGCTCCATATCCCCATTAGAGGAGAGCTATTTTACCATTGCCTCTTATGTTTTTCAAGTATAAGAGTTGAGGCAAGAGGGATGTGGAAGGACACATGTCTGTTTTTCAGCATTGATATGTATACTGAAGGTGTGATGGATCTGGATGAAATGGTTCTCTGTCATCCTTACATTCCCAAAGAGGAGAAGGAGGGAAACCTTGCCAAGATCAAGGATAAGGCAAGAAACCGCTACTTCCCTGCCTACGAGAAGGTGAGTGCAAGTTGCTTGACCTTTAGAGCATTCAGAGGGTCTATTCGTCCTCAGGGGACATCTGAGCAGCTAACATAGCTGCAGCAAAAATGCCTGCTTTCTGTCTGCATGTACAATGGCAGGTGGGGTGCAAGCTCTCTGATGCCCCTCTTGTTAGGAGAAATAATGCTATTCATGAACCCTTAACCTGGAGGATCTATTCTCCCCTCAATGTCCTATTTACTAGCGGCATCATTCTGTTGGCTAGAGTTCTTACCATCTTGATTTTGGGGAGAAACAGATCTGCAGTAACAAAGGAGAAAAGATGAAAAGAGTCTGTGTGTCCTTGGGTTGTTGGTCTTCACTCCCACAATGCACTTCATTGTTGTCAATTCAGCACCCAAGCACTCCAGGCATTGTGTAAAGGAGGAATATAAAGAGCTATTGACATAGTTAGAGCAAATAGCAGGCTTCATGTTCCCACAAATTGCTACTTTGCTGTGACTCACCATAGAATTTTTCTAACAGATTTCACAGTCACATTTAGAACTTGGACTATGTAAGCATCTGAGCCACACCAGTGGATGGACCTGACTGAACAGAACTCTGGAATTTTGACTCAGGAGCATCAAACTGAGAGTAACACATCAGAAAATATTCTTCTACCCCAAGTATAGGGAGACCTGAAATAGGTTTCCATTAGGAGACTATCGTACTGCTTCAGGATGGATGCAGAGAGGCTACACAATCTTGACAAAGCCACGGATGAGAAGAGACAGAGAGGAAATGTGAAGAAAAACTGATTGCCAGAATTAGCAACATATCTCTCGGATTTGTTAAGAGAAAGTTGCATAAGAATAAGGGAAATAAGGGAATTAAGTTCTATTTTCATATCCATGTGTACGTGTGTTTGTTGTATGTGTGCCAGTTCCAGATGAAGAGGCCATGTCTCAGAAACATACTATGTCAGGCCAAACCAAACAAGGAGAAATGTCTAAACATGTCAGTGTGGCTGGAGCCTTGCAGACCGAAGAAGCACTTGGCTTCAGAAGGTCATTTACCTCTACCTCACTGCCCACGGCATTTCTCCTTCATTTCTCCTTTATTCTGCAGGTTTCAGCAATGCTGAGATTTCAGCAAATAGCTCATATTGTTCTCATTTATTCTGTAATAGCTTACTTAGCAATAGATTATTCTTCCTTCGTTCATTCAACAAATCTGAATTCATTGATGTGTATCGGATCCAGGGAGCAGATAATAATATAGATGCCCATTTCCTCAGTTTCTCCCTCTTGGCCCTTAGAATCTGACAGATTAGGATTTATCTTGTGAAGAGAAGCTCTCTGTTCATTATAGCTTGTCCCCTATACTGTGAAAACAAACCCCTTGAATATCAATAAGACATGTAAATTACAGTATCATTTGGTTCTTTTACCAAGAAGTCATTTAAATTTCTATAGGTATATATTATATGATATGTATTTGATAACATTATTTTAATTGGTAGTGCTATGGTGAACTTTCTATTCTTTATTATTTTTAATTAATTAATTTATTTATTAAAAATTTCCACCTCCTCCCTGCCTCCCTTTTCCCTCCCCATATCCATTTCTCCCTCCCTCTCTAGTCCTAAGAGCAGTCAGGGTTCCCTGCCCCGTGGGAAGTCCAAGGACCTCCCACCTCCATCCAGGTCTACAAAGATGAGCATCAAAACAAACCAGGCTCCCACAAAGTAAGTCCATGCAGTAGAATCAAAAGCCAGGGCCTTTGTCCTTGGCTTCTCAGTCAGCCTTCATTGTCAGCCACATTCAGAGTGCCCAATTTGATCACATGCTCCATCACTCCCAGTCCAGCTGGCCTTGGTGAGCTCCCATTAGATCAGTCCCACTGTCTTAGTGGGTGGACACACCACTCATAGTTCTGACTTCCTTGCTCATGCTCTCCCTCCTACTACTCCTCATTTGGACCTTGGGAGCTCAGTCCAGTGCTCCAATGTGGGTCTCTGTCTCTATCTCCATCCATTGCCAGATGAAGGTTCTATGGTAATATGCAAAATATTCATCAGTGTGGCTATGGGACAAGGCCAGTTCAGGCACCCTCTCCTCTGCTGCCAAAGGAACAATCTGGGGATCTCTCCTTGGACCTGGGAACCCCTCTAGAATCAAGTCTCTTGCAAACCCTAAAATGGCTCCCTTAATTAAGATATTTATTTTCCTGCTCTCATATCCACCCTTCCTCCATCTCACCCATCCCATTCCCCTGAACTTTCCTGAACCCTTGCCTTCTCCCTTCTCTCTATCCATCTCCCCTTACGTCCACCCCCTCATACCCTCATGCACCCAAGTTTTGCCTGGCAAACTTGTCTACTTCCAAAATCCAGGAGGATAACTATATGATTTTCTTTATGTTCACCTTCTTATATAGCTTCTCTAGGATCACAAATTTTAGGCTCAATGACCTTTAACTATGGCTAGAATCCACTTATCAGTGAGTACATACCATATTCCTCTTTTTGGGTCTGGGTTACCTCACTCAGTAAAGCGTTTTCTATTTCCATCCATTTGCATGCAAAATTCAAGACGTCATTGTTTTTTACCACTGAGTAAAACTCCAATGTGTATATGTTCCACACCTTCTTTAACCATTCTTCTATTGAGGGGCATCTAGGTTGTTTCCAGGTTCTGGCTATTACAATTAGTGTTCCTATGAACATAGTTGAATAAATGCTGTTGCAGTATGATAGGGCATCTCTTGGGGACATTCCCAAGAGTGGAATTGTTGGGTCCTGGGGAGGTTGACTCCCAGTTTCTTGAGAAACCGCCACACTGATTTCCAAAGTGACTGCCCAATTTGCATTCTCACCACCAACTCTACCTTGGTTACAGTTACCCCAAGATATTTTATCCTATTTGTGGCTATCATGAAAGGTGATGCTTCTCTGATTTCCCTCTCTTCTTCTTTATCCTTTGTGTATAAGAGGGTGACTGATTTTTTGGAGTTGATCTTGTATCCTGCCACATTACCAAAGGTGTTTATCATCTGTAGGAGTTCTTTGGTAGAGTTTTTGGGGTCGCTAATGTACACAATCAGATCATCTGCAAATAATGAACTTTTAACTTCTTCCTTTCCAATTCGAATCCCCTTGATCCCCTTCTGTTGTCTTATTGCTATTGCTAGAACTTCAAGCACTATATTGAAGAAGTATGGAGAGAATGGACAGCCTTGTCGTGTTCCTGATTTTAGTGGAATTGTTTTGAGTTTCTCTCCATTTAATTTGATGCTAACTGTCAGCTTGCTGTAAAGAGCTTTTATTTTATTTAGGTATGAACCTTGTATCCCTAATCTCTCCAACACCTTTATCATAGAGGGGTGTTGAATTTTGTCAAATGCTTTTTCAGCATCCAATGAAATGATCATATGGTTTTTTTCTTTCAGTTTATTTATATGATGGATTACATTGATAGATTTGCATATGTTGGACCAGCCCTGCATCTCTGGGATGAAACCTACGTATTCTTAACGGATAATTTTTCTAATGTGTTCTTGGATTCGGTTTGCCAGTATTTTGTTGAGAATTTTCGCGTCGATGTTCATGAGTGAGATTGGCCTGTAATTCTCTTTCTTGGTTGTGTATTTGTGTGGTTTTGGTATCAGTGTAACTGTAGCTTCATCAAAAGAATTTGGCAATGACTCTTTTGTTTCTATATTGTGAAATACATTAAGGAGTATAGGTATTAGCTCTTCCTGGAAGTTCTGATAGAACTCTGCTTGAAACCATCTGATCCAGGGATTTTTTGGTAGGGAGGTGTCTGACGACAGCTTCTATTTCCTCACGGCTAACAGGTCTATTTAGATTGTTCACCTGGTCTTGGTTCAACTTTAGTATATGGTACTTATCTAAAACAATGTCCATTTCTTTTATATTTTCCAATTTTGTGGCATACGGGCTTTTGTAGTAAGATCTAATGATTCTCTGAATTTCCTCTGTGTCTGTGGTTATGTCCCCCTTTTCATTTCTGATCTTATTAATTTGCGTGTTCTTTCTCTGCCATTTGATTAGTTTGGCTAGGGGTTTGTCAATCTTGTTGCTTTTCTCCAAGAACCATCTTTTTGTTTCATTGATTCTTTGGATTGTTTTCTGTGTTTCTATTTTGTTGATTTCAGCCCTCAGTTTGATTATTTCCAGTCTTCTACTCCTCCTGGGTAAATCAGCTTCTTTTTTTTCTAGAGCTTTCAAGTGTGTTGTTAAGTCTCCAATGTGTGCTTTCTCTGTTTTCTTTAGGTGGGCACTTAGTGCTATGAACTTTCCTCTTAGCACTGCTTTCATTGTGTCCCATAGGTTTGAATACGTTGTGTCTTTGTTTTCATTATATTCAAGGAAGACTTTAATTTCTTTCTTTATTTCTTCCTTGACCCAGGGGTGATTCAGTAGTTGACTGTTCAGCTTCCAAGAGTTTGTAGGCTTTCTGGGGGTAGCATTGTTGTTGAATTCTAACTTTAATCCATGGTGATCCGACAAGACACAGGTGTTTACCAATATTTTTTTTTGTATCTGTAGAAGTTTGCTTTGTTACCGAGTATGTGGTCAATTTTCGAGAAGTTTCCATGAGCTGCAGCGAAGAAGGTGTATTCTTTCCTATTTGGGTGGAATGTTCTATAGATGTCTGTTATGTCCATTTGATTCATTACCTATATTAATTCTCTTATTTCTCTGTTAGGTTTCTGTCTGATTGACCTGTCCATTGTTGAGAGAGGTGTGTTGAAGTCTCCTACTATTAGTATGTGTGGTTTGATGGCTGCCTTGAGTCCTAGAAGTGTTTCTTTTACATAAGTGGGTGCTTTTATATTAGGGGCATAGATATTCAGGATTGAGACTTCCTCCTGATGAATTGTTCCTGTTATGAATATAAAATGTTCATCTCTATCTCTTGTGATTGGTTTTAGTTCGAAGTCAATTTTGTTAGAAATTAGAATGGCCACACCTACTTGTTTCTTAGGTCCTTTTGCTTGAAAAACCTTTTCCCAACCCTTTACTCTGAGTAGATGTCTGTCTTTGTGGTTGAGGTGTGTTTCTTGTAAACAGCAGAATGTTGGATCCTGTTTTTGTATCCAATCTTTTAGTCTGTGCCTTTTTATAGGTGAATTGATTCCATTGATATTAAGTGATATTAATGACCAGTGGTTGTTGAATCCGTTTTTTTTTTAAATTTTTTTTGTGTGTAGTAGAGTTTGTGTGTTTCCCTTCTTTGAGTTGTGCTTGTGAAGGGTCGCTAGATGTCTGAATTATTGTAGGCAGTGTTGGCAATGTTAGATTCCTTGGATTGTGATTTTCCTTCTATTACTTTCTGTAAGGCTGGATTTGTGGCTACGTATTGTTTAAATTTGTTTTTATCCTGAAATATTTTGTTTTCTACATTGATAGTGAATGAGAGCTTGACTGGGTATAGTAGTCTGCGCTTGCATCCATGGTCTCTTAGTTTCTGCCGTACCTCTATCCAGGACCTGGCTTTCATGGTTTCTGTAGAGAAGTCCTTTGTAAGTCTGATAGGTTTACCTTTAGAAGTTTCTTGATCTTTTTCCTTTGCAGCTCTTAATATTGTTTCTTTAATCTATATGTTTTGTGTTTTGAATATTATATTGCAAGCGGATTTTTTTTGATCCAGTCTATTCTGTGTTCTGTATGCTTCTTGAAACTTCATAGGAATATCGTTCTTTAGGTTGGGAAAGTTTTCTTCTATAATTTTGTTGAATATATTTTCTGGGCCTTTGATCTGCAATTCTTCTCCTTCTTCTATCCCTATTATTCTTAGGTTTGGACTTTTTATTGTGTCCCAGATTTCTTGAATGTTTTGTGGTGAGTATTTGTTGGATTTGCTGTTTTCTTTGATCAGAGCATTTATTTTCTCTATGGCATCTTCAGAATCTGAGATTTGTTCTTCTATCTCTTGTATTCTATTGGTTATGCTTGTTTCTGTAGTCTCTGTTTGTTTACCTAGATTTTCCATATCCAGCCAGCCCTTGGTTTGTGTTTTCTTCATTGTCTCCATTTCAGTTTTCAATTCTTGAACTGTTTCAAGAATAACTGTTCATTACCTGTTTGATTGTTTTTTCGTGGTTTCCCAGGGTACCATTTACGGATTTACTCATTTCTTCAAACTTTTTGTTATACTTCTCTTCCATTTCCTTAAGGGAGTTACTCATATCCTGTTTAAGGGATTCTATCACTTTTATAATGTCACTTTTTTCCACTTCTTCTGGAATAGAGTGTTCAAGTTCTTCTGTTGTAAGATCATTGGGTTCTTGTGTTTTCATGTTGTTTTTCAGATTGTTGGAGGATATCTTGCTTTGATGCCTGCCCATCTCTTCCTTTAAATGCTCTCCAATGAATCCTCTGGTACAGCATCAGGTTAACTTGTTGGCCAGGGACCTCGCTGACAAAAGGCATACCTTGCTGCAGGCAGGCTATTGAAACAAAGGAACTCCCCCCTGCCTGGTTGCACTTACCACCCAGTCCCAGCACCCAAACAGGCTGAGCTGGGGGATTTTATTGCCCCAAGGAAGGGAGAAAGAAGGGAAGGCGTTCCTGGGTGAAAGCTGGGGTGGGATAGGAGGAGAGAGGGCATAACAGGGTGGAGCAGCCCCTGCAGAATGACCAGGGAGTTAAGGGGATCGGGGAGTGTCTATGCTCAGTTTCCAGGCTTCTGCCGTGGGTCAGGAACACATTTACCTTTCTGACGGATCTTCTGCTACAGAGTCAGTGCCCCTTGCTGGCTAGGGATCTCGCTGACAAAAGGCCTACCTTGCTGCCAGCAGACCTTCTGAAGGATCTTTTGCTACAGGATCAGTGCCCCTTGTAGGCCAGGGATCACGCTGACAAAAGCTCTATTCTTTATTCATTGTAACTTTAACATTGAAGGATTATTTTATGAAATATTGCATGTTACTCAAATAATTTTTATAAAGACTTTCATTCATCTATAAATGTAGAGATAGGCAAGGTGATGAAAGCCTGTAAGCCAAGGTCAAGACGTAGAAGATGGAGGATCAGTTCAAGACTAGGTTAAGAACAAAGTGAGTTTGAGGCCAGCCTGGGCTACACGAAACCCTATCTTCAAAATAGGAAAAGAGGAAGGAAGGAAGGAAGGAAGGAAGGAAGAAAGGAAGAAAGGAAGACTAGTTAGTTAGATTAAAGAAAACACAAATACATGGATATCATCTACATGATGCTGAATTCAGCATCCTGTGGTGCTGGTTTTCTTGTATGTGTTCATTCTTTTCCTATCCCACCCACACACTCTTCTTTCCACCGTAGTATTTTTTCCCTAGCATTCTCAAGTTAATTGGCAACACACACGCAGTGGACTCTTTGTTGCTTCAGCACTGCAGAAGGAGGATGCCTAGTATAAAGAACCTGAGCTAGTGTTGCGAAGGAGAAAAGGATCAAACTTACTCTTGATGCCGTAGATGTAAGGATACTGGGAGAGCAGAACAAAAAGGAATGTAGTCACTGAAGCAGTCGGCTCAGGTGTAAAGTGCGTATTCACACAGGTGACACTACTTCCCACTAAGAGACTGCAGAGTACAGTCAGGGGACACCCTCAAATGTCAGAGCTTCATCCCTTTAAAGGGGAGGCAGGAAGAAATAGTGAGGCTGGAACAGAAAGTTTCGAACATGCATGAAAAGCAGTGACGACCAGATGGCAAAATAATGGGTGAAACTCTGCTTCTTGAATTTGTTCGTGAGTCAGAACTGACAGAAAAGTGTGGGGTTCCGTACACACATGAAAAGGCTGGAGAAGGGAATTTGGTTTGAAATCCTCAGAAGAAGCCATAGAGGCCCCATTCTGATGGCTGTTAGTCTTCAAGATCTAACGAACATCTTGAATCCCACAGGTGTTAAAGAGCCATGGACAAGATTATC